GGGTGTTAATGTAGGTGTTTCACGAAGTTTTAGAAGCAATTTGCATCATTTAGAGGTGAGCTTCTATTTGCTTGCTTCGGGCCAACCAGGACTGAATGGGATACAACATCTCAGCAGAAAGACTAAAATACTCGATCGTAATCTTCACCTCGCGAGAATCGAACCCCCCTGTTCTGTCTGCGACGGCGAAACGTCTTACCACCCCATCATATGTGCCGATATATAAACATGTATATCAATAGAGAGAAAAACTACGTAGGGAATAGAATGGTATGATTTGCTCAACATTGCACCATTGTCTTTAGTGGCGTCGATACCCTAGTGGTAAGGCTACCGGACTCGTAATCGTGAGACTGCGGGTTAGTGGGGTTCGAGCCCCAGATCGGTCCAACGCCGTGTCCTTGGGAAAGGCACTTTACACGAATTCCCGACTTGGCTCGGTCGTTTCGGAGACGGGTGTTAAACTCGGAGGTCCCGCCTCTTAAATAACCTAACAGTGCTGATAGGGGTGTTAAACCTCAACCATTTCCATTTTTCCATCGCCTTTTTCGTTCCGAGCATTCTGAGCATTTTGGGGCCCTGTTATCATCACGGCATCAAGCAAACAGCAGCGTATGTGGCGTAGGGGTTAGGTGTCTCGCTGCAGCACGCAGACGACCCGATTTCGACTCCCATGTGGGAAGAATTTTATTGAGTATCTCTGTCTTTCTGTTTGGGCGTTGTATCCCCCCTCTTCCCGAGTTCGGTCACAGCTCGCCTCTTAAATGTTCGTAAATTGTGTCACTATAGGAGCGTAAAATTACCTGCATTCGAGAAAAATAACGTTAATTCAAAGTTTAGAAGATCATCGATTATGTGTCGGTTGCCACGGACGTTGCTAATATAATCTCGGATTTTACAAGGGACGGCTTCATCCGTTGATAAGAACCAAAAGGAGCAAGACATATTTTTATAGCAAACGAATTGTTGAAATAAAGGGTTCTATTCAATGGTATCATATGGCGTAGGGATGTATCTAGATTTTACCCTCCACTCGGCGTTCTTAGAATTCAGTGGTATGGGGATTTTGAAAGGCTCTCGGCCTTCTTGCTCCAGTCATACCTCCAATGGACGTTAATTTTTAAGGTTCAGCGGCATCAGATATCGAGGAAAAAGTACCTCTTCACCCCCC